ACAAAAGTTCGTGTGAGTGTGTGTGTGTGTGTGTGTGTGTGTGAGTCCCCTTGTGCAAGAAAGGCATTTGCAGCCTTGTAGTGGCTTAGAAGGAGTAGTTGCCACTCAAATCAATTCTGACTCATAGTGACTTTACATAGGATGTCTGAGACTAAACATTTACGGGAGCTGTAAAACATTACAGGAGGGGTGGTGAATTTGAACCACCAACATTATGGTTAGCAGTCCAATGCTTACCCAACAGCACTACCAGGGCTCCTTTGGGATGGGAAATAGACAGAGGAAATAGGAAATGTGGCAGAATATATGACACATTTTAAAGATAATGTTGGCGGGACTTCCTGATGAACTGGATGTAGTGGGGGGAGTATGCGAGGAGTCAAGAGTGGCCCTCAGTTCTTGGTTTGTTGGAGCAGCTGAATGGGTGACAGTGCCATTTCACTGAGACAGGGAAGTCTGAGGGAAAGCATTGCTGATGGGAGAGGAATCAGAAGTTCTGTTTTGGTCATATGGTCTTTGAGATGTCTATTGGGCATCCAAGTAGAGATGCTGAATCCATCATTATATGTCTGGAGTTGAGCGAAAAGGCCAGAGTCAGAGGCAAACATTTGGAAGTAATCAGTCTGTACTCTGGGAAGCTTCTATTGTTTTAACTTCTCGTTGCGATTTGGTTCAAAGTTTACAGAGTACACTGGCTTTCCACCTAACAATTCTCATCCCATGGATTTGTGTCAATGGTTGCAATCCCTACCCTCAGAAGGATTTAGGTGGAGAAAACACCACAAATTGAGAGCCCTGGGTCACACCAATGTTTAGAGATTGGGAGATAAATTTAGCAGAAGAGAAAATCAAGCAGAAGGTGTTTGCTGTTGTTTTTCCAACACATTTGCATTTCAAAGTTAACATTTACCAGGATGGTCAAGAGTCACTAACGCCTTCTAAGCCCGTCTTTTGAGGGATGCTAGATTCTCTTCCCCTTCTCACCTTTCCTTTTTTGTTTTTCTGAGTCCCTGACTGGCACAAACTCACTCACTGCCATCTAATCCATTCCAACTCATAAAGACCCTACAGCACAGAGTCGAACTCTGCTGTTTCTGAGGCTGCAACTCTTTATGGGACTGGAAAACCTTATGTTTCTTCCATGGAGTGGCTGGAGCTTTCGAACTTTTTGACCTTGTGGTTAGCAGCCCATCAGGTAAGCCACTAGGCTACCAGGGCACAAACTGGTAGCCAGTAAAGGTTGGTGATTTGAACCCATTCAGAGTTACCTCAAAACAGAGGCTTGGTGATCAGCTTCCCAAAGGCCACCAGCGTGAAAGCCCTATGGAGTGTAGTTCTACTCGGATATACCTAAGGTCATCAGAAGTCAGAATGAACTCCATAACAATTGGTTTGGTTTGGTTTGGTTAGGGACCTTTTTTTCTTTCTGCACATTTAAAGTTGCATTTAAACAAAGGAGTCCTTACTTTTCCCCTCGCATGGTATAATTCTCCCAATACAAAAATTGTCACCATTTCACAAGCAGCCCTCAGCTCTGGCTCTCCTATCAAGTGTCGAATCCAACCAGAAGCTGAATCCGTGGCATCCTGTAAGGTCCATAACACACAGCGATGCCATGAGTCAGAATCGACTCAAAAGCAATGGGTGTGAGGGTTTGGGTTTGTGTGTTCTTTTCCGTTACTCACTTCCCAGGCCACCCTACTGCCTTTATCTAGCCTCCTACTGAATTTTCCCAATGCCTCCCACTAAAAGGCCTCACGACTTCTGAGAATGCAGCCCCCCTTCAGACCAACAAGAAGCGCTTTGAACTTTCAGACTTTTCCATCCAGCCACTCAGGCTTTTAAAAAGTGCTTCCTCTCTAGGAAGCATTTGCTACTAGGCCAGGAATACAATCCCAAAATCCAAGTCAGCAGAAGGAAAGCCCTGTGAGAACTGAGTCTAGAGACCCTCATAAAAGGAGGGAAATAAACCGGGTAACCTGTTGCAGGCCCAGGATAGCACAAAAGAGTGCCCATTTCTAGATGTCATTCATTAATCCAATGAAGCACTATTGGTAAGCACCTAAGAGGCATCTGGTAATAAGGTAGGGAAAGGAGAATCATCCATGTTTAGGGAAAGGGCTGTAATTTGCAAGAGAGCAGTCAGCGGAGGCCTCACTGAGGTGACATTTCAGTACAAATTAGTCAAAGATTTCCAGTGCCTCAGGAAGGTAGGTGTCTTCTGTGGTTTACCAGGTCTCAGGTCCTTGAGGGCACTGTCGCCAGGTCCCAGTACAAACATTTGTCAATCCCTCGTGCTTAGGATAAATAGAGCTACAAGACTCAGACCTTACCCTTATAGAAGTTACAACCTTCCAAGTGGGAAAACAATCAAGAGAAGCATTAAGGACTCCACTGAGGTGTAAATAAGATGCTTTATGACCCAGAATAACTAGCTTGGGTGTTTAGTGACATAATACCAAAGATGGTGACTTCAGAATTAAATCTTGCGTGATGACAAGGATGGGTGATGGATGGCATGCTAGCTTTTCAGGAAAAACTACCACCACTGCCAAAAAGGAACAGTGGAAGCACAGGCCCTGACATGGGATCAGGGAGCATATTCTATCAAGGAAGCCTACCCAGCCCAGGATAAAATAAGCACAGACTCCCCTTCAGGCTCTCTGGCCTGGCTGCTGGGAAATACTTACCACCTACCACATTCTTATTTCTCAGGAGCGGCCACTATTGAGCGAGGAGCACGTGACCAGAATCCAGGGTGACCCTCTCCTCTCTTCAGGAGCCCGGAAGTGACATAGTAGTGAGTTACACGATGGGCTGCTAAGCACAGGGGCAGCGTTTCAATCTCCCCAGCTGCTCTTTGAGGGAAAGATGAGGCTGTCTACTCCCACAAAGATTAACATCCTGGGAAACTACTACAGGATCACTATTAATTGGAATTGGCTCAATGGCCGTGTGTGTGTGTGTGTGTGTGTGTGTGTGTGTGTGTGTGTGTGTGTGAGATATCTTCAGGAAAATCACTACTGATCTGAGAGCCTGGGAGGTTTCATTCATCTGGGTAGACTCAAGGGTATGTGCTGATAGCGGCAATATGACAACTGGTCTCATGCTAGGTAGAGACATCAGTGAAACCAGTGGTCTAGAGTCACTGTAGTATACCCAATGTCAGGACCAAAAACCATGTGTGAATTGTTCCTCACCGTCTTCATCCATGACCTATTAGCATCCCTCACATCCAAGATGGTAGAGGTGGTACAACAGAGGACACGAAAGGAAGCTCTGCAATCAGATGGCCCAGTTCTGCCTTCCATTCCCCAGGCAATTTGGGGCAAGAAACTTAAGCTCTCAGGCTCTCCTTTTCATCAAAACACAGTTGTCTCGATAGTGCCTAGCACACAGAGTTGTCGTGAGGATTGTTATTGTGCAAGGAGCTCTGCGGGTGCTGTGGAATAAGCGTCAGACAGCTAACTGCAAGGAAGGTGGATCGAAGCCACAAACCACTCAGCAGGTGAGAGATGAGTCTGTCTGCTCCCATAAAAACTGGCAGTCTAAAAGTGGGTGAAGGCAGATGTCGGGCAGTGTAAGATATGACAAAATGATAGTAATTTATAAATTATCAAGGGTAATGAGGAAGGGGGAGGAGAGAGGGAGGGAAATGAGGAGCTGATACCAAAGGCTCAAGGAGAAAGCAAATGTTTAGAGAATGATGATGGCAACAAATGTATAAATGTGCTTGACACAATGGATGTAAGTATGGATTGTGATAAGAGTTGTACGAGCCCCCAATAAAGTGTTTTTTTTTTAAAACTGGCTGTCTCAGACACCATACAGAGCAGATCTACTGTGTCCTATAGTAGGAATCTACTCCATGGCAGTGGATTGGGGAGTTAAGTATGTCACGGATTCATCACAGTAGCTGGGCTCAAGGAATTCTAAAAGCCTGTCAGGCTTACAATTCTAAAAGCAGCCTGTCAGGAGAAAAACCCAGAGAGCATTCACCAGAATGCTAGTACACACACTCACAGTTCACTTACTCCAGAAGAGGCCTCCAACCTCCATTTTACTGATCTATTGTGGAATAAAGTAAAATTGTTCATCCCCTGCCCAAGAAAAGCTTCACAAGCCAAGTTGGCGATTTGGGGGTGTTTTTCCCCCTATTAGGATTTCCAGCTGGTACTAAATATAGATATTTCATAGGACCTCACCTCTGAATAAAACAGAGTTCCTCCACAGACCATCGGGGTAAACAAATTAGATCACTAACACTTTAATATTAATGGATTTATGAGGCGCAGGGATAGGAAGCTGAAATAGCAGAGAAGCAGCCGGTTAAATATAAGGGGTCCAGAAGGGCTGAAGACTCATTTCTGCCACAAATACACCAGATCTCAGGTCAACCTTGCCCAAAGCAGTATTCTGAAATATTAGGTCCTCTGGTCTTGAAGAAGCAGGGCACTGAGAGAAGAAAAAAGTTTGTTTCATGAGAAACATGGGGTCCTGGTAGCCTAGTGGGCTACACACAGGGCTGCTAACCTGGAGGTCAACGGTTTGAAGCCACCAGCTGCTCTGCAGGAGAAAGAAGAGGCTCTCTACAGTTCCATCTTGGGAAACCCATAGGGGGCAATTCAATTCTACCCTATAGGGTCGTTGTGAGTGCGAATCGAATCAATGGCAGTGAGTTTAATGAGAAACAGATGAGTTTTTCAAGCCACCAGCCTTCTAACCAATTGATTTCAGTCCCTCCTCCCCCTAAAAAAACCGCTGAATTCATTCAATGTGGAAAAACTGGAGGAATACCTTTGCAGCCCCACTACAAACCATCCCAGAAGATAGAGGCTCTGGGAGCCTTCTTCCTGGAGCAAACCCCTCCCAACCTGTCTACAAGTGGCAAGGTAAAAGCAGTCCCGTTCTGAGCACAATCAGTCCCGGGGTTTCCAGCCCCAACCACAGAGGGAGCCCACTGAGGCAGGGCTCAGGGCCAACCGGCCTCTAGCCTTTACCTGCGGAAAAGCGGCCAAGGCGAGGGTTGCCAACGACGGGTGACTCAAGGTGCGGGGGAAAGGCCTGGCGAGACACCGAGCTCTGTTGGAGGAACCGACGGAAAGGTGACCGGACGTCTCCCGGGGCGTCGCGCGGCCGCCGCTGGTTCGGCCCCACCCCTGCCCCCGGGCTCGCTCAGGCTCCGGGCGGGAAAAGCCGGGACAGCCGGCGGGACGCAAGACCGCCTGGAAAGCAGAGCCCAGAGGGGCACAGCCCGCGGCGCAGACGGGTGGGCAGGGAAGGGGCAGAAGAAGCGGGGAAGGAAGAAAACTAGGGGTGGAAGCGGGGGGGCGGGGGGCGCCCTAACAGATTGGACTCAACGTCGAGGACTGGGGGTGCGGTCCGGTGGGGCGACCCGGGAAGTGGGTTCGGGGTGGACCAGAGAGCTGAAGGGGGTGGGAGGGAGGGCAGGACGCCGGTCCCCGAACTGGGGGTTGGGGGGCGGGGACACCTGGGCAGTAAAAAGGGGACAGGGCACCCGGAGGGGCGCTAGACCTAGGAGGGCAACGGGGCAGCCGGTGGCTGCAGACCTACCTGTCCCTTGCAACAGGTGCCGCGAGAGGACAAGACGCCCTGTGCTAGTTTCAGGGTAGGATCTCTGGCTCGGACTAGACCGCCACCCCACTCCAGTGGCCGGCCCTCCTCACCCTCCCGGGAGGCGGAAAAAGCTGCAACTTTCCCTGGAGCGGGGAGGAGCTGGGCTCTTAAAGGGGCCGCACAATGCTCGGGGCTCCTTAATAGGGGACAGCTCCCCTCTCCCCCCTCCTCCCCCCGGGGGAGCTCTGGGAACCAGAGGCTTAAGGCACTTGGGTGATGTACCTTGCAGATTAGGAAAGAGACTTTGGGACTAAGACAGGAGTCTAAAATGAGCTAGAACACTGTGGTAACTTTCTTAGATGGGAAAATCGCCTAATTCTTCAACTCCAACTCTGCTGAGCCAAAACTTTGTCTCGTCTCGTACTTCAAAAAACATTAAGAAGTTAAAAAAAAAACATTAAGAAGTAAAGGTCTAGAAAAGAATGAAGGCAACATATGTACAAATCCGCCTAATGCAAGCCATGTATGGATTGTGAAAAGAGTTGTAGGAGTCCCCAATAAAATGAAAAAACAAAAACAAAACAAACAAACAAAAAACATTAAGGGTCGGGACTAGATAGTTTGGAAGGGTAAAATGTGATACCATGCTGATCCTTGGGCCTTTGACCTTTTGTGGCAACTAAGAGTGTCTGGAATACGAACGTGTAAAGGACAGAAAAAATTCATACACATGTGTGCGGGAGAACAAGAATGGTTAAAATATTCAACTCACTAGTAATAAAATAAGAGCAAATGAAAACAAAAATGTGATTCATTGGCAACAGTTTAAATCATTATTGTTTTAATACTTCATGAGGACAAAGTGGCATTAAACAAAGTCTTTCGTGTCTGCTGTGGGAGTGGAGGTTGGTAAAAACCCTCTTAAGAAACAAAGCACAGGAGTAATATATATCACTAGGGTTTAAAACGTTCACATCTACCCAGTAGTTCGTTCTCTCTCTCTCTCTCCTCTCTTATCTCCCTCCTTCCTCCTCACCAACCACTAAAATGCTCAGGTCATCTTTCATTTGTCATCAGAAATTAAATATCCTCAAGTCTCTGCCATATTAAAAAAATCCCCCCTACTCTCCAGCTCCTCTTCATAGGCAAATTCATGGACAATGTACTTTACAGGTTAAAAAACAAAACAAAATCATGTATCCAAACCCACTGCCATCTAGGAGATTCCAACTCACAGCCAACCCATATCTCTGAGGCTTTAAATGTAAACCTTGAGCAGATAGCCTCAACTTTCTGACACCAAGCTGCTAAGGGGTTTGAACTATGGACCTTGCTGTTGTCAGCCCAATGATTACCCAACAGTGCGGCTGGGGCTCCACTTTACAGGAACATTTTCTATTTCCCTCACTTCTCATTCATTTCCCAACCCTCAGCAATCTTGCTTCCTTCCCTAACACTCCATTGAAAATGTGCTCAACTAGACGTCCAACCAATGGGATATTTTCAGTCCTTATCTTATTTAACCTCTTCAGACAATTCATATTGTTAACCATTCCTTCCTCTTTAAAACAGAATCTATGAAGCCAAACACCTTTGTTTTCTATCGTACCCCCATTGTCCTATCATCAGCTTCCTTTTTAAAATTCTGCTTCTACAATCTGGCCTCTGAAAGTTGGAGATTCTCAGGCTAGGCTATGTATATTTTCTCCCTAAAAAATCCTTCACTTGACTTTAATTACTATAAACTTACTTAAATACTATAAATTTGCATAGGCCTCTTCATTGAGCTCTGCTTTCTTTATTTTCTTTATTTAATAAATCAATTTGTTGGGAGCTCTTACAGCTCTTATCACAATCCATCCATCCATTGTGTCAAGTTCATTTGTACATACCATATATACTTGAGTATAAGCCAACCCGAATATCAGCCAAGGAACCTAATTTTACCACAAAAACTACATTAAAAACGTGCTAAAAAAACTCACGAGTATATACGGTATGTTGCCATCATCATTTTCAAAACATTTTCTTTCTACTTGAGCCCTTGATATATGCTCCTCATTTTCCCTCTCCCCCACCCTCTGTCCCTCATGAACCCTTGATAATTTATAAGTTTTCCCCCATGTCTTACACCAACCACTGTCTTCCTTCACCCACTTTTCTGTTGTCCATCCCCCTAGGATGGGGTTATATGTAGATCGTTGTGATCAGTTCCCCCTCCCTCCTCCCACCTTATCTTCTTTGTATCTCTATTCTCATTATTGGTTCTGAAGGGTTTATCTGTCCTGGATTCCCTGTATTGCAAAATCTTATCTGTAGCAGTGTACATGCTCTGGTCTAGTCAGATTTGTAAGGTAGAATTGAGATCATGACAGTGGGGAGGAAGCATTAAAGAACTACAGGAAAGTTGTATGTTTCATCAGTGCTATACTGCATCCTGACTGGCTCATCTCTTCTTGTGACCCTTCTATAAAGAGCCATCGAACTATAACCAAGAGAAATTACTAAGACCTGACTGAAGGCTGAACTTGACAGTGGGCCAAGAGGAAAGAACTAGAAGGCATAGAACATTGATAGTTCTAAATACAGGCATGTTCATATATAAATATATTTTATATAATGATAGGGAAATAGAGCTATGTACTTTTATCTATGTACTTATAAGTTAAGTATTAAGGTAGCAGATAGACATTGGGCCTTGACCCAAGTACTCCCTGAACACAAGAACACTTTGTTCTAATAATCCGGCATTCTGTGATGCTCACCTTCCTGACATGATTGCTTAAGACAAAATGGGTGCATAAGCAAATGTGGTGAAGAAAGCTGATGGTGCTAGGTTATCAAAAGATATAGCGTCTGGGATCTTAAAGGCTTGAAGATACACAAGCAGCCATCTAGCTCAGAAGCAACAAAGCCCACATGGAAAAAGTACACCAGCCTGTGTGATCACAATGTGTCAATGGGATCAGGTATCAGGCATCAAAGACCCACACCAAAAAAACATATTAATGTGAATTCGGGGGCGGGGGGTGGGGGGGATAGTGCAGAGTGGAAACCCAAAGCCACTCTGTAGACAATTGAACTCTGCTTTCTTGACATCTCTATTTGAGTATCTTGCAGGCATCTCAAACTCCACACATCCCAAATGGAACCCATCATCTTCTCTATTAAATTGGCTCTCCTTCCAGCATTTGCTACTCAACTCATGACCACATGCGACTCAAGGCAGAAACCTGACGTCTTCAAGGAATACTTGTTTCATGAGAGAACAAATGTGCCCTAAGGAAACAAAGGTGTGCACAAGGCTTTCGTTCAATGATGTTACTTAGAATAATAAAATAATAGGTTTAAAAACCCTGTGATTTATTAGTTAAGTCAATTCTAGCATGGTCCTACAATAGAATATTACATAGCCCCAAATGGATTTTCTACATATTGCATAATGACTGGGAACTGTTTACATTATAATAGTAATTGAAAGTAAGATACAAATGTTCACATATAAGACCATCAGAACAGTGAATGGGAACGGGGAGAGGATATGCACATATACAAAGACCAGTAAAAAATGTCCCAAGATATTAACAATAGCTAAATGCTTCATTTGCCTCCAACTTTTCTGTATTTTTCAACTGTCTTATAATTTGTCTGTATAACTTTGATAATATAAAAATATTTACAATTTTTTTTAATTTTTTAAGAAAATATTATAAAGAGAGAGAAAGAAGAAAAAAGTTATTTCTAGACAAAACACTGGGAGTCCACTTCCAGGCTCTCTCTAGAGTTTTCTTCAGTCCTTTCTCCCTTCAATTGCTCCACCCCCAGCCTAAAGTGTAACACGAGCCACTTCCAAAAGGAAATCTCTCTCCCCAACACACACTGCATTTGGTTTTGCCAGCTCAGTCCTCGGGGCCCCTCTGCACATCCCGGAACTTTGATTGTGTTCCACCTCCCAAGCCTGACCGGTAGGAAGGAGGCCTAGATGATCTAGGCTTCTGTCTCCCTGGCCTGTGGAAACTCAGACCAGACACTTCTCTGTTGCTTCTTCACCTGAGTGCTTTGGAGAAATTGGTAGCACTATCAGCCAGGAAAGACCAGAAACCATTTATCCCAACACCCTCATTCCTTAGCAAATCGAAAATTTTCAGATATTATTTTAAATTTTTATTTCTTTATTACATATGCAGTTTACTACTCTCCAAGAATGGCCTCCTCTCAAAAACAACCATCTCACTGACTGTGGTAGTTAGATAATCTGGTGTCAATTTGAGGACCAAGAGTGTAGTGGTGGAGTCTAGCCTATCAATCTGGAGATAGCCAATGAGACCTCTGTGTGGGCATGGCCTCCTCCTGAGAATTCTGGGAACTCCTGTATTTTTCTCCTTGGAGGCGAGAGACATTTCTCTCTCTCTGCTGACTCCCTGTGAGACATCTCTGAGGAGAAGCCACATGGACCTACCCTGATGCAGCCCTGGAAGCTGGAGAAGCCACGTGGAGACCCCTGCCATTGCTGAGATGCTTACAACGCCACTGGATACAAAGACTTTGTACCCACTGGCCTGTGATCATCCTGCATTCGGCATCACTGCATGTGTTTTGTGAGTCTGAAGATGACTTTATAGAATTGGTACTGCATATATGGGCTAATATTGGACTTATGGACTTGAACTGGACTGGGCTGGGACGTTTTCTCAATATTCAACTTCTCTTGTATGTAAACCTCTTTCTCATATACATATGAGTCTCTCTAGATTTGTTTCTCTAGTCAGCCCAGACTAACACACTGACCCAGTTACAAATATACAGAAAGAGACAAGCGTACACAAGGAACCAAAAATTGAGTTAGGCAATGGCTTCTTTACATATATGCTGTGTTTTGGAATTGGGTTGCTAACCACAAGGTAAACCAACAGTTTGAAACCACTAGCTCCTGGAGAAAGTTGAGGCTTTCTCCTCCTGTAAAGAGTTAGTCTCAGAAACCCACAGAAGGAATTGTACCCTGGCCCACGGGGGCATTAGGAGTCAGAATCGACTTGGTAGTAGTGTGCATTGAGTGTGCTTTCCAAACAGTT